GTAGCCTAATGAGTTGTTTGATGTGGGTGGCTCGTGGCCTGCAGTGAGATCCGATATGCAGACGATGGATGTAGATTTACAGATAAGATCTTTTACGGAGAAACATCCGTTTATAGACATTTTAATGTAATTAGTTACAGAAGTTTGCGACTTGAACTCCCAGTACCACGTATATTTTCCTTACTAATACCTAATCCGAATCAGGCTCGTAATTTTGTAAGTAAATGTGTCCGAACAAACGACAATGGAATTAAATTCTTATATTTACAATATTGTGAAACAACAGCAAGGCAATGGAAAGCAGTAGAGCATTAACTCGTATCTGTTATGTCGACTTTCGTGTCGATAAGAAATGGAAGCCGTACACAATGTTACCGTAGACTGGCGCGAATTATAAAAATTATGCATTATTTTACAATATTAGTCACACTAGACAGGATGTAAAGTGCCGGTCCTTGTAAGAAACCTGATAATGTAGAATTATAGTTAAAGGAGCTGTCGCCCGTGACGTAACATCCTAGAGAATTAAAAAAAATATAGTAGCCTGTGTTCTTCCAGACTATGTTTAAATTTGTACTAAATATTATCGAAATCTTTTTTGATAATTCGTAGTCTAAACTAAGTTAGCTTTGAGTTTGTAGTTAACATTGATGAACTAAGGTAATAATACATTTTCTTTATAACCTTTTAATTTAATAGCTGTCTATCCCAGTAAGGTCAAAGCACTTGAAATCTAAACGCTCTTGACCTAGGTTGTAATTGACCAACAAACGGCGGTAGTATTGACCACAAGTGAGAGCGTGCGTTATTTATAATTACTGCGCAGTTACCGCGCAGTATACTCTGTGCTGTCAGATTTCCCGCCATCGCGCATGTCACTTGTGAGGGGAAAATATGGCAGCGTTCAATAACCGATATTGGAGGGCTTATTACGAATATTCGTGAGAATGTTTTCGTAATGTCATACCTAGTATTACATTTAACGCCCTTACAATACACTAACAAATCTCAAACAAATTATGTCGATATCATTACCAATACGCTCTCGTAATTGTCAGACAAGTATTTGTGATAGACCTGCATGTTTTATATTCGAGTTGAAAGTGGCATTATATTTACCTTATCAGCAGGTGTTAATAATTTTTCCTCAAAAGATGATTTCACACTGATGTTTACTTTTAGTTTGTTAGTCGAATGACTTTTGAATATACCTAAAACATACCTCCGCTAATAGCTTATTAACAGAGGCCAAATTCTATCCATTTATCCTTTTTAATTCGCAGACAGGGTAAGCGTTTTATTTCTAAAACGGTAACGATAATCCAATATCCATTTCGTGTTGTCGTTTAGAAGTTTGAGAAAATGTGCTCACACTTTTCCAGGAATGGGGACCATTCCAGTGGCGTTTCCGATGTTATAATTAGCACAGAATAAATTCCATTGTTTATGGTCTTTTGTTACCGCCTTCCTTTATTGGGAAGTGTTCTAAATTTGAATTTGAAGTTGAATCTTTCTAGCACAAATTATTTAAATAAAACGTTTTTAACCATAGGAAATTGAGACATCACCTGGTGTTACAAGACGCGGCGCGAACGCCTCTGTTATTGACAGTACCTTGTAATGCCACACACCATGTGAGTCATATGTCATTCTGGTTTAATACTTTCCGATTGTACAGGTGACTGTACCTTTTTATACCAGTTTTACGGTGACGTAAAACTGGTATAAAAATGCAATAGTGCAAATTGATTGATAAAAATTGTTAGGAAATTCACAGTAATCGCATCATATTGTAATTAGACTTAATGCGTTAAAAGTAGCACCACTAATGAACCATCCGTTATTATCTTGACGTCTTTCATGTCTCATAATCATCTTTTACTTCCGTACTGTCACAATCTATTAGGTGTACCACTTGTCGACGCGACATTCCGCAGGTGTCCCCCGCGCATGAGTCAGTTAGCTTGGAATAGCACAGCACGGCGCTAAACTAAACACCCTTTCAATTATGATCGTTTAATTTTAAACTTATTTGTTTTTAATTTATCCTGACACACAGTCGTGTATGGTCACTATGTAGTCCCTTAGCGTAGATTTCTCATAGCAAATCAATATTAAAGAACTCCATTCTACTAATTGTCAGTTAGTATTGGTATTTAGTTTAATGATTTGTTTATTATGAGAAATGTTTTGTCTTGTTAATACTTTTGTTTATAGGTTGTAAGTGGAGTTATAACTCTGTTTTTAATTTAACATGTGGTTTTTGTAAATAAATAAAAGATAAAGCGGCCAGTTTCATTGATGACTCATACAGATCTGTGCCATAATGCAAGGGGTCTATCGGACAATGCCTCGCTGAATAATGACCGTATCAAATCCGAGACAGGGCTGCGTAAACGTCGGTCCGCTAATTCCAACTTATTATTTTTTGTTTAATTTCCAGCAATATGTAATTAATAATGAAAACAATATTAATTATCCATCTATCTATTCATGCATTATGACTTCTTGTTATAAGTTATGACAGAGTTTTATTAAAAATATTCTTGTAAATTGTAATAACACAATTTCACATTTACTTAATTTAAAGTCATATTCTGGAGTTAAAACAAATCTTAGAATCATAGATAATCAAAGCGGGCCGCAAGTAGAACACTCCTGGTATTTAAAAAAAATCAAGCGCCAATAGCCGCAAGTGTTAGGCATTACATTTAAATTCCCACGCTGAGTCATTCGCGAGTGCTCTCGGTCTGTAATGCGGTCTTGACGACAGGGCTGGAGAGATATCTCCTTACTTCTTACTGATCTTACTAAAATAATAAATGAATTTGAATAGATGTTGGTTAAAAGATATCTCTGGAATGGTTCTTGATGTTTGGCGTACTAGAACATAGGGATGACCACATGTGAAGTTTTTTTTTAATTTAGCGCACATTCGCGGCCTTTAGTTTGGCTATATTTAGTGATGAGTGTTAATTCAGGACGACACTACATACTTCAGAATCTCTTGTAGTAGTTAATGTGTGCGCTCGGTGCGTCAACCTCAGTATTTAGGTCGCAGTAATAGAGCTGGTTATTACACTTTTTGCAGACAGACGCACGGACAATCGTAGAAAGTTGGAATAGAGACGGATCATTTGCTTTACTTTCTAATTATTGTAAAAAAGCTAGATCATACTAAGCCTATTGGGGTTAACAATAATAATATTTAACTTCGACACGATTACGAATCTATATTAATGTTATAAAGAGGAAAGATTTGTATATTTGTATGTATTAAAAGAACTCAAACACTACTGGGTCGAAATTCTTTCACAATTAGAAAGGTAATTTATCTGTGAGTAACATAGGCTATACTTTTTAATGTTTAATTTCACGCGGACGAAGTCACGAGCAACAGCTAGTTATATATAAAATTGATTATAGGACATAAACTATTAATTCTTGTAAATACTAATAAAGGGACTCTACTACTCTACTCTGCTCTACTACTCTCATTATTTTACTCTATTAAATTTTCTACATTGTGCTGTAAATATGAATAAAAAACTAGAAATTACCTTACTATATTGGTTATGGTTTATATTCTTTCAAGCATTATATATCAATATCAAGGAAATAAACGAACAATGTAATATTGTAAGAAATGATTCCGTAATACATACATGGTGGTATATGCACTACCGGAACAAGATATGATTACAATTGGTCTGTATCAAGTATGCTTCCTTGAACGAATATCTATATACACGAATAGACTTAGATTTCCATTTTAGTAATACTTGTATAAGAACACATATTTCTTTTTGTCACAGAAATAAACTGAGACAAGAATATAAAATAATTGTGACGTGATTTTAGTGTCGATTTTTTGTTAATCTTACATTTTTTTTACCTCTTAGTTAAAACCCAATTCAGATCGTCCCTTACTTTGTCGTCTATGGGCAATGGTCGGTACGCTTTTCACGTCCAGATGGCTGCCCGTTTGCCATCGTACTTCATACTAATATTATAAATGCGATAGTTTAGATGGATGGATGTTTGTTAGAGTTTGTAGCTTAAACGGCTAAACGGATTTCGATGAAATTTGGTATAGATGTAGAGGATAGTCTGGAACAACACATAGGCTACTCACTTTTGTTTTTTTTTTTGTAATTCCACGCGAACGGAGTTGCAGGCGAAAGCTAGTTTTATAATAAAAAAGAACCGATACTTCTTAATTCCTCTGTTAATTTCAAATATTTATAATGTTATCGGATATGACCGCGTTTTATGTTTTCTTAAACATATTATTCAGTCGTTACATGTGATTAAACAACTGTGTCATTGTGTTACACAATTGTATTGATTTTATACAATGGTAAATGGACATTATTTATATAACTT